CTGTCTTTACATTTATTTTGAAAGATGAAGCTCGCGATTATGGTAAGGGGCGTTACATTTCCGACGAGTGCTTGCGGTGTTCGGCATGCACTGGTGCACTGGGTCAGCTGGCCAATCAGAGCAGACTGCGCTTGTCGGAAGGAGGGACTTTGTAGAAAACGAAGAGAGGCGGGGCATAGAGGACCTACAATTATGTACAGTATTTGAAAAATAATGTGTTTTTTGAACATTAAAGCATGTCAACATATTCTGTTCACCAAATACACAAAATAATGAGCTTTAAAAAAGCATCATATGACCCCTTTAAGTACAAAATCTGAATACAACAAACAGGCATTAATTAGTATACAAAAAAGATTCTGGTATGGAAGGCTCAACACAATAGAATCATAATCAAATCATATAACAAAACATTCCAAGAAACATCAAATAAAAATTAATTAAATAATAAAAAATACATAATTACAACATATTATATAATACAAACAAATTAAGTAGTTTTACTGCTTTTGGATTTTTCATTTTACTAAGGGCGTCTGAGAAGTATTTTAGATCAATTTTAAATACCCAAATGTAGGAACTGTCTTCTCTGTTCTGCTGTGCTGACGACATTTCCGGAGTTACGCCCGGAGTGACTCCATTTTACACGAAAACAATCTTTGGGGAAGATATTTTTATTCGGGTGCGTATATTTTTTTGTTTTCTCTTCTAATGCCTACAAAATACTCTCTTTATTTTAATGTCAACGCATATCGAGCATTTTTGCTGTCTGTGGGATTAATGTTGAGTCTGTAGCTCACTGGCTAGCTAGTCATTATCGTCTGATGCGTGTTTGTTTTCTGGGCATTTACTGTTAATTTACCGTTAAACAATCATTTTAAAGAGAAAACTTTAGCTATTCATTTTCTGATCAAGCAGACAAACAGTTAATTTGAGGCCACAATATGTGTTGTAGTGTTTTGTGTAGTTACCTAGTACTAGTCTTGTATCTGTATGTGCTTGATAACGGTCACGAATATGATGCATTTATTCTCGTATTATTTCATAAATAATGATTTTTTTATTGTATTGTTTTATGTTATGATAATTTACTTTTGTCGAAAAGCTTCTGCCATTGTCATATATGTAAATGTCACATGTCAATTAGTAAATAGTTTCAGCTGTACATCATTTTATGTGGATTTGATCTAACTGCTGGGATCATTTTGATTTGACATCTGACACACAAAATGTAAATTTGGCCCATTACAGACTCAGAGCTGCCATGCTTGTGTTAGGTGTTAAGAGTGTAATGAGCTTATCATCTAATTTCTACCTACCATTGCCTTCATGCCAGTATGCCAGTGGTGTGATTTAGCAGGCAAAACTGGTATTTTATACAGAAGGAAGTGGCACATTTGCATTTACGAGTAACATATTTCTTCTCCCTCTGTTTTCTTTATAGGCTGATTGAGTGCATCCACCTACCGCTGCCACATTCCTCGTGCTGAAATTGTATGTCTGATGAGTGCGGAGACTGTCTGGAGAGCAACATGAAGGATACTTAAACAGTTTATCAACCATGAATCAAGTCTAAGGAAGGAAAATATCCCTGTCATTGAACAGGACAACCGGTGCAGTGTGATTTTCCTGTTTCAGAGTTCAAGCGCTGCTTTATTATGAACCATGGACCAGGGTACAGTTGACAGCCCCGTTACTCTTGTCATCAAGGCACCCAACCAGAAGTATGATGACCAGACCATTAATTGTTTTTTGAATTGGACCGTAGAAAAGTTGAAAAAACACATATCCAAAGTGTATCCTAGCAAGCCGGTGAGTTTATATTATTGTCAAGTTTATTATTCTATTATAAAGTAAATCAGTCTGTTGCCAATTATCCAACAACTGTATTTATGTGAACAATCATATTAGGAGCATTTTCTTTCTTTGTTTAGTAGTATGACCAAGTGTTAGTGTCTCACTAATCATTAATGCAGTATTTTAAAGGAATAGTTCACTCAAAAATGAGAAATACTGAAAATTTACTTCACCAGCATCGGGCCATCCAAGATGTAGTTGAGTTTGTTACTTCATCTGAACAGATTACATCACTTGCTCACCAATGGATCCTCTGCAGTAAATGGGTGCCATTAAAAACATCACAATAATCCACAAGTAATTCACAAAACTCCAGTCCATGTTTTGTGAAAAGCTAAAAGCTGCGTGTTTATTTAATTATCATTTACAAGCACAAACAGTCCAAAACAGTTCTAAACAAATATATCTTTCACTGGAGCAAGTGTTCTTTTGGATTATGGACTGGTATTTTGTCCAGAAGTGACCGTTTAAACTTGATGGATTGAGGTTAATGATGGATTTGTTTATTACAAACATGCAGCTTTGACTTTACAAGATGTTAATCGATGGACTGGAGTCAGTTGTGTAGATTACTTGTGGGTTATTGTGTTTTTATCAGCTGTTTGGACTCATTCTGATGGCACCCATTCACTGCAGAGGATCCATTGGTGAGCAAGTGATGTAATCTGTTCAGATAAAGTAACAAACTCAACTACATCTTGGGTGGCCTGCTTATTTTCATACGTAAGGACTTAAAATAAGCAGTTAAGTATGTCATAATTCTGTGCTTTGGCCGGGTTCAAGAAAGGTTTGTTTATGACTTTTAAAGAGCATTCTATTTGTCAATCACAGAATTACTGTTGTAGTCAAGGTTAGGTCTTTTGAAACATGTTTTTATGATGATTTAAAAGTGTTTTTAGAAGAATCCTATGAAATTACTTGTTGACTTCAGGAAATGGCAGCTAGATGCCACCTGCTCTACAGGAATGTTTGGCATTGCTGGTATTTTGCCCGAGAGCCCCATGCAGAGCTGTGCAGTTCAGATTCTAGTTCCTTATACTTTGCTGGCACTTAGTGATGATTTATTTTTTTTAAATTTTTTTTACATGCTGACATTTTTATTTTAGGAGATTTCAGTGAACACATTTCTAATCAAACCCTACCTTTCTTGCATTTAGACAAGCTTGGTTATAAAAAGTCCATGTTTATGTTCCTCCTTTCAGTTATCCAAGGATCAGAGACTTGTCTATTCTGGACGGCTTCTTCAGGATCACTTGCAGTTGAGGGATGTGCTAAGAAAGGTACAGTCCTGTTTTCTGATTTGTTTAAATATCAAATCAGATGCAGCGTACAAAAACAAGTCAAATGTTTTGAAGAGAAGTTTGATGGTGCTTCAAATAGTTTGAGTGTTTCTGATTGAGATGTTGAAATTACCGCTTTACTTTATAGATCCTAAAACTTTTGTATCTCACCTTCATAATCTTTTCCTTTTTTTTTTTTCATTTGTGGCACAGTTATTAGGCCATCCAACCACAAATTATCTTGGTGTGATTTTTATTTTTTTATTATTATAATTATTTTGTATGTTTTAAAGTCGGCATGAAATGGAATTTCACCCTATCTATTTTCTAAATGCGTCTTATTGATCTTATTGTGAACTGTTCATCCATGCATATGTTTCATTATTTACATTTTCTAAGCTACATTTTTAGTATTAATCTAAGCTCATTGTTATCATTTGTTATCATTCCATCGCTTGGTTTTCAGTCCCCAAAACGCCGTTATCGTGTAAACGAACAGTCAAAACGCATAAAAAGTTTCCCGTTGTTCAGCCCCAGAGTTGTTCAAACCTGCAATAAAATTCATTTAAATCTTCGGCCAGTTGTTGATTCTCCACAGTGCTGGGGGATGGTGTCTTGTAATTGGTGATGTCTTTCAGTCCTTTCCACACTGATGCAGGGCCATTGACAGAAAACTGTTTTCTCAACTTTTCGGAGTAGTTCCTCTTAGCCACTCTGGTCTCCTATGTCAGTGTGTTTTTGGCCTGTTTAAACAGGACTCTGTCCCCATTCCTGTAGGCATGTTCTTTGGCCTGACGGAGCTGTCTGAGTTTTGCAGTGAACCACGGTTTGTCATTGTTGTAAGTTAAATGAGTCCTGGTAGGGATGCACATATCCTCACAGGAACTGATATATGATGTTACAGTCTCTGTGAGCTGGTCCAGATTGGTGGCAGCAGCTTAAAAAACATTCCAATCAATGCAGTCAAAGCAGGTTTGTAAATCCCGCTCTACTTCATCAGTCCATCTTTTTACAGTCCTTATGACAGGTTTAGCCGATTTCAGTTTCTGCCTGTAGGTCGGTATAAGATGAGTCAGGCAGTGATCATAGGTCCCCAAAGCTGCCTGTGAGACAGAGTGATATGCATCTTTTATTGTGGTGTAACAGTGGTTCAGTATATTACTGTCTCTGGTAGGACATGTAACATGCTGTCTGTATTCATACAAATGACACAGACTGGATGCAAAACTTGTATAGTGACCACTTTTTTTAAATAAAACAAAGTGTTGTTTATTGTATTCTTTTAAAGTGTTTGACCAGAGCTCAGGTTTTGTTGTACTGATTCTAATCACTGAATTTCTTCAACCTCAACAGCAAGATGAATACCACATGGTCCACCTGGTGTGTGCGTCACAAAGCCCCCCGTCATCCCCCACTTCCGGCAGCCCTGTTAGCACCACCGATTCCAGCTCTTTAGTGAGTGCATAGATTAAAAAAAGAAATGGATCATTATCATGTTGGTAAACTTTACAATAGGGTTTCATTAGTTAACTACATAAGTTAACATAAACAATGAACAATACTTCTACAGCATTTATAAATCTTAGTTTATGTTAAAGGGGTCATATGATGCGATTTAAAAATTGGAAACAATAATGTACAGTATGTGGAAAATAATGTGTTTTTTGAACTTTAAACCACATAAACACATTTCATTACACCAAATACACAAAATAATGTTCTTTTTAGCAACATCATACGACCCCTTTAAAAGGATAGTTCACCCAAAAGTGCAGAATGTGTCATCATTTACTTGCCCTCAAGTTGTTCCAAACCTGTACGAGTTTCTTTCTTCTGTTGAACACAAAAGAAGATATTTTTAAAGTCTTAACATTATGTCCATTATTCTTTCTTTTTTTCTTCCTAGACATCAGACAGTGCTGGTCCATCCTCCTCATCTTCTACCCCTAGTCAGGAAACTTCAGCCAACTCTGATGGTCTACGGTACCGGGGGAACCCAACACAAACACACGGCCTCAATCCTGCTCCTACTGGTGTAATGCAGAGGTAAAGACACAAATGACACTCACGAATAACCCACTCAAAGCAAAATATGTTCATTTGAGTTTTGAGGCCTTTGAGTTTCATTTTGAATATTTCATTCCCACTTAGACCTGAAGGAATGCCTCTTCCCATGCAAGGTGATCCCGCTGCTGGCTTCCCCGCCCATCCTATGTACATGCCGATCCAAATGTTTTGGTGGCAGCAGATGTATGCTCGCCATTATTACATGCAATAGTAAGTTACTACGGCCCAGTTGTTAATAAATATGAGGTTAGGACCCTGAATAATGTATTTGAGGCCTTTCATGCTGAGATTTCAGAAAATAGTTGTGCAAATCAGTATAATCATATACTGCAGGTCAAAAATTTTGAATAATTATTAGTAAAAAGAAGACTTGAAAGATTTTTTTAGGCTTACTAAGGCTGCATTTATTTGATCCAATATGCAGTAGAAATAGTAAAATTGTGAAAAATGACTGTTTTCTATTTCTATTTTGAAATGTTTTTGAAATGTATTTATGTGATGGCAAATCTGAATTTTCAGCAGTAATTAATGCTTTTATTTAACAATTATAGCAAGCATTAAATTGCTCAAAGCTTGAAAGACATTTATAATGTTGGCATCATACAATGTACCGCTGTTTCCACAAAAATATTAAGCAGCAAAAACTTTTATGCCTTAAAAATAAGAATACCATTATTAATATTTTGGCACCAATTATAATTGATAAAAAGCACCAAATCAACATATTAGAATAATTTCTGTAGGATCATGTGACACTGAAGACTAGAGTAATGGCTGCTGAAAATTCAGCGTTGCCATCACATTAATAAATTACATTTTGCAATATATTAAAATAGAAAGCAGTTGTTTAAAATTGTAATAATATTTCACAATGTTACAGTTTTGATCAAATAAATGCAGCCTTGCTGAGCATAAGAGACTTCTTTCAAAAGCATTTTTTAAAAATGTCATTATTCAAAAATTTTCACCAGTAGTGCAAATGGATATATAGGGTATAGCTTTTTTTCTATACAGGTTCTATACAAGACAACATGAAATTAAAACAGACCATTTTTACTTTCCAATTAATTTAATTCACACAATTCATCCGTGTGCAGTATTTTGTTCATAACCTTTCATTCACAATCTTTCAGTCATGCAGCCATGGCAGCCTCCCGGGCATCCAGCGTGGCCCCCTTTCCCGCTCCCAGTGCTGGCCCCGCCACTCAGCCAGCTCTGCCTAACGAACCTGCAGCCCCTATGGGGCCCAACCCTGCCCCTGAGGACCGCCCTGCCAACCCCAACATCCAGATGAATGCTCAGGGAGGAGCCATGTTGAACGACGATGAGCTCAACCGAGACTGGCTGGACTGGATGTACACAGTGTCACGTGCTGCCATTCTGCTCAGCATTGTCTATTTCTATTCCTCCTTTGGCCGCTTCGTTGTGGTGATCGGTGCCATGCTGCTGGTTTATCTGTAGGTCATGTTCGAAATAGAAGCTTCCTGATAAGCAGAAGTTGACTTGTAGGAAGTTGAACATTGTATTTGCACTTCATTGTCTCTGTTTGTGTACTCCAGGCACCAGGCTGGCTGGTTTCCCTTTAGAGCAGAACTACAGAATCCAATAGCTGGAGAAGGTCCTCAGGACGAGGCTGAGCAAAATCAGGATATGCAAGAGATGGTTAGTTATAGTAATCGACTTTTGCCAATATTGTTGGAGATATCTAGAAAGCAAGATATACTGACAGAACAGAAAAGTTTGGACACGCTTGACTGATGTCTCAATACATAATTCTTTATTTTTTATTTTTAATGACTCTGTTATTTTAAAATGTGAAAAATAGAGATGATAATGGGTTTGGTCTATCTAAACTTTTTAAAGATGGAGCATATGTACATTTAATGCAATGTAATTTTTTATTAACAAATTAGCATTTATTTTACACTATTTACTGTTTGATGTTTAATTAGTCTTATGTATTTATTTGTAGAAAAATACAGAAAAAATTACAATTTAAAATTTTTTCAATTTTAATATATTTTAAAACGTAATGTAATCCTGTGATGCAAAGCTGAATTTTCAGCAGTTATTAAAAAAAAAATTCTAATAAATTCAAAATAACACCATTTATTTTAAATATATTTATTTAAATTTATTTGGAATTTGAAACATTCTAAATGACTTTACTGTCATTTTGTTTTATCATTTTGATCCATCCTTGTTAAATTCAAAATTATGTATTGTTAAGACTGTCAGGGGAGTACTGACATACTTCACAATTATTGGCTGATACCAGTAATCTTAAAATGGTCACACATCATCCTAAAACTAATTAATTGAAACTAATACACATCTTTCTCATGAACCAAAGCAATGGTTTTATTGGTATTCATAATAAACAAACTTACCCATCTCTCTCTTTTTTTTTTTCTTCTATAGGAGCGTATGATGGATGAGGGAATGGAGGATGATGAGGGGGACAGCGGGGAGGAAGGTCCTGAAGATCCCATGAACGCAGACCCGCATCAGCCGGGCTTCCTGTCGGCCGCTTGGTCATTCATCAGCACTTTCTTCACCTCCCTCATCCCTGAGGGACCTCCACAAGCTGCCAACTGAACTTGGATGTCTCCACATTGTCCGTGGACAGTGGAGAGAAGAAATTGACAATAGACATAAAAAAAATAATAATAAAATACAAAAAAAAGTACAACATGGTCTGCCATGTCCTGGAAAGTCTGTAATGCTGCTTCAATGGTGTTCATTTTTCCCCCAATGCTTTTCTTCCCACCTTTGTCAACAAGTCAGAGTGAGGTTTCATGGATGTGCTGTCCATATTGTTATGAAAGACTTGTTTTCTCAAGACTGGTTGATAAACATGTAAGACTTAGTGAATCATGCAGTTACTTTAGTGCATAACTATTTTTCTCTTCCTTGTGTGTAAATAAATAGTAAATATTTACAGATATGAATATATGCATCTCGTTGAAATAAGGTGTGTTTTTGAATAAAATCAGGTTTTGGTTTCTTATCATAATTCGTGGTTTTGATTTCCTTCAGCTGGTCAACTGATGCACCACTAGTAGGCGCCACTGATTTAAACAATACATCTACATGTACAGATTTCAAAGATGCTTCTATTAATACGTTTTCTTACTCTTAAATTTAACTTTTATTAAGATTTACACCTATATATAGGAGTAGGAGTTACTCAGAAAAAAATTTACTTATATGCAGTTTAGTCTTTTGAAAAATGATTTAAAAAAAGAAAAATGTCTGAAAGCTTAAAATAAAAAAAATAAACATTAATCGTTCAGAATGTATATGTATACTATATGCTATAATATCTAAATACTATCATCTTTTAAGTAATAATGTTTTTATATGACAACATTTAAGTAGACAAAAGTGGTGATGCACCAAGTACTAAATATATATATATGTATATATATATATTCAAGAAATAAAGGCAATCTACTTTATGATTAAATTATTTTGTGTAATTATTGTTTCTTGGGGAAGAATTTCTTCATGATTCATAATAGAGACATACTTGATGGCATTGGTAAGAGCTGGCATGCATATATGTATATGCCACCTTAACACCACAAAATCCCTTTTACATTCTGAAATCAAAGCTGTCATCTGCATTTTAGAGCTACAGCCCTCTGTCCAGTCATATACAGACTGAGGTGAGATGGACACAAAGTAGACCATCATGCACTTCAGTGCCTTCAGAAAACCTCTAATCAAATGAAGATGGATTTTGTAGGTTCATTGTAACAACACAATTAATTATGCATGACAGAGACATTTATTGGGCTCATTTCACCCGGACGCCACTAAGTAACTGGACAAATCTGGTTATAGTCCCTCTTCCCAAGGTAGGACAACTCTTATCAGGAGAACAGATCTTTGTCTGTCAGACCATGATTTCATCATGACTCCATCCTTTGTTGGATAGACCTAGACAAATGTAGTTGTTGAAATTATTTCGCTTGAATTAAGTGGATTTCTGCAGGAACGCAAGAAAGGAGTAAAAAATAAACAATATGACTGATAACTCTATAAATTAGAGGAGACTGGGGCTAGTTGTCACGAAGGCCGTTTCTGAGTATGAAGTTGTAGTGCAGCAGTGGTTTTTGTATGTGGTTATATATATATATATATATATATACAGGTGCATC